CAACACGGTCGAGTCGCTGGCGCGCGCCGTGCCCGGCGCCCTGCCCGGCGTGGCGGGGGCGGCCGGCACCGCCGAGCACAAGTCGCAGACCTACACCAACGGCTTCGGCGCCGCGCGCGACGGCCTGGAGTTCGCCGACGCCGACGCGCCGGCCGCCCGCTCGAACGGTGAGTGCGGCCGCGGCGGCCCGGGGCTGGCTCAGCGGCGCTGCCAGCGCGAGAACTGCGCGTTCTACGGGCGCGCCGAGACCGAGCACTACTGCTCCTACTGCTACCGCGAGGAGCTGCGGCGGCGGCGCGAGGCGCGCGGGGCCCGGCCCTGAGTGCGGCGCGCGCTCCGCCAGCTTTTACCATAAAGGATTTCTTTTCCATTCTGTCGGTGTCTTTTTTACATGCCCTGGTCAACCGGAAGGCCGGCGACTCCTCTGTCAGTGCTGTGTACGTGTTTGGTCAAACGTTCCTAATGGTGCCTGAACCTACACTGACGCCACTCAGGTAGTAGACGGATAGGAAACAAGTCATACTGTTGGAAGTGGGTGTGCTAGCTAGCATCTGCCTCGTACCTGTGGAAACTCAATAGCCATTGCAAGAGTATTTTTGTTCCTCAATAAGAGAAATAAAGAAATTTGCAGCCCTTTGTTTTTAGAAGGGAGTGTTTTACATTTTTTTTTTTTTTTTTTTTTTTTTTTTTTTCTCGGGGGGGGGGGGCCCACCCCAGGGACTGGCCTCCTCCATGTAGCGGTCACACGTGTGCGGTCGGTACCACCCAGTTCAAGAAGCAAACCCGCAGCCCGGGACTGGGGTGGCGACTGTGCTGCGGGCTCACACCTGCTTCCCCTCCCGAGTCCTCGGAGGACAGGAGACACTGTGCCGCCCCGCTGATAAGCTCTGGTGGTCACGGTGGCCCTTTAGGAATACGCACCTCCATCTCATAAGCAAAAGCTCCTCCCACTCACCCCCCTTCCCACCCCTGGCCCGAGCAACATTCACACTGCCATCAAAGCCGCAGGCGTCCTGGGATGGGCACCGAACAACCTACCTCGCAGGGCGGGGTGAGGGGTAGTGATGGCCCCCGGTGCCGGGCAGCTGAGGTGACAGGAGCTTTCCAAAGACACCTCGGATCCAAAACGCAAGGGTTCTGAAACCACTATTTGGAATTGCCCATGTATGAGCAAAGATGACAGTCTGCTCACATTTCTTCTTTGAAGACACTTCCACAGCGAACTATCTCCAGAGCACCCCTAGGAAGTGATCGTTGGTGCCCCAGGAGAGAGGCAAGGGATTGACCCTTTGGTCACTATGTAAAGCCCCCCCCACTCCCCCCGCAACGAGGCTAATTTGAAACCTGGCCTGTGCCTCTTTCCAAAGGGAAGGGGCTGAGGGAAGTCGGGAAGGAAGCCCATCCCCACCTCCACCTGCATCTGTCTGGGTTCAGCCAGGTAAAGGGGCGTCACTCCCATTGGGGTCCCCTCTGCAGGGTAGGGGTCACCCTGCCTGTGGCTCCATGACACGGTGAGGGGCAGCCCCATCCCTGAGTGGTCCCTTTTTTGGTGCCTCCTACATTTCTTGAGGAAAAAAATAAAATATGTGTCCTTAGCTACCCTGTTTTGAGCAGCAATATGCAGCCTCTTCCTTCCAAGATTACCTCTGGAGAATACCATTCTTGGCCAAGGACACTGAGGAGTTAAATCTGCCTCACTAAAGAGAGATCTTGTTTCCAAGAAATCCAGATAAGATGGGTAAAATCCTCACTAGCAAAAGAATACTTTAAAACCTTCGAGAGCCTTAGAATAGCTTTCTAATAACCCTAAGAAAGAGAGGAGATAGCGCCCAGCTTTGCTGTGGGTGTTTCCTCAGAAAATGCAGGAGGTAGACCATCTCTTCATTGGAGCCAGCTTCTCCTTCTCCAGAAAGGATGCTTTTCCCTCTGACATAAAGAGCAGCAAAAAATAATAATAATAATAATAATAAAATTTTAAAAAGGAGGGGATTTTTTTTTACTTGTTTGAAGAATTATAGTAAACTAATTTGAGTATCTCCTGTAATTCCTTTTTGTTTTTAATTATTCCACAGCACGTGGGGTTTTCAGTAATTTATCCAAGTTTTGCATAAGTGGTTCCTTAAAATTATTTATTAAATAGAATCTTTAAAAAATTTTTTGGAAGTTTTACTTTTCATGCCGAACAATACTTTCAATGTGTGGTAATTACTAACATCCATGTCCCTCATATTACTGGGGTTTCTTTTGTTACTCAGAAAAAAAAAAGTAATTTTTTAAATATCTCTCATCACGAGGGTTTGTGGCAGCTTTTTGGACTGATTCTTTGTGCCCTGCTAGGCAACTGCTTTGCCACCCAAAGTTGAGGTCACAGGAAGTATTGCATCACATATAGACACTGGCCATGGCCCTAGCCCCTCACTTTAGAAGGTTGAGAGCCAGCCTCAAAAATGCTTAATTGTGCGTTTAGAAACCAAACTCATGTGCACAAGAAGGCATAAAGTAAAATTATATTCGTGTTTTAATTTTTTAATGTTAAAGCAGCCAACCAGAAATTTCCAAAACTGGCTATGCAAATATTTTATCTTTCTCATGCCATGGTTAAAAAAAAAAAAAAAAAAGAAAAAGGCAAACTGAGAAAAATAAACACAGTCCATTGCAATACCAGAGGAAAACCTTCAAAACTAGGCAGTGCAATCCATAGGTATTATTTAAAAATGGTGACTTATTCTATCTCCTTGAATTTCGAAGTCTCCTCTTCCCCACCCCATCTGACAGATGTGCCATGAATAAGAGCCTGAGATCTAGCTCTGGGTGGCTTCTCCAGCCATGTGGAAGGCCCCCAACTTAGCGTGGTCATGAGGTGGCTGGGCCTGCCAGTGCATCTGTGAGTGCTTGTCCACATGGTTTACAAATAGCTGTTTCCTTTTGTGAGGCATCTGGATCCCTTCCTCTAAACAGTATTGAAATCGTGAGAGAACCTACTGTTACATCAAATGTACTAGTCCAGTGCACCAGGAACACTCCATGTTGTTCAAAAGAGCTCTCTAGATCAGGTCCATAGCCAAAGTTCTCTCAAACCAAATTAGTTTATCAGGCTGAACAGTAACTATCAGAACTGCTGTATTGTTTACATGTGGGCCAAGAGGTCCTCTCAAATCCTTCTGTGACTTGGGGACCTCTTGTGGATCAGGGAAAGGTTAAATGGATCATAGGCACTGGAGAAAAGGAAGAGAGTCCCAATTCTAGAAAACCTGAGAACCTCACTGGGGTACACACCCTGGGCTCGGGGTACATGGCAGACCCTGCCTGTGAGTGGCCTTGTCTGATATAGCCAGAATTCCCTTTCCGGGAAGGTCAGAGGTCTCTAAGTGACAGCAAATTTCCAGAAGGATCCTAGATACTTCTAAACCCCAGTGGAGGTTAATTCAGTAATTTACTTCACATTTCCCGCACACACGAGACCCAGGTATATGATTTTTTTTTCAAATAATATATTGTTAAAGGAAGGTGTTTTTACGTGTATTCTGTTTGTAGATTTTATGCTATGTTACATTGAGATTTTACAAGCCAAGTTCAAACTGTACCATAGAAATTATTTTTATATTATTTCCAGAATATGCCACAGAGCAATATTTTGCGCCCTTATATTGTCACAGGGTTGTCCCCTTAGAAGGGTTACCATAGGTGGGAAGGGGCTCTGTACTGCGGGCTCTTGAGTTTAAGTGCTTTTTGCTATTTGTTCATATCCTCTCTGAAAGTGGGAATATGTAAATGTGTTTTCTTTCTTTATTGGAAGCTTGATTTTTTTTTTCTGTCCATGGATTTTGGTACTGCACCTTTCCTCTTAAATGAATACTTTATATTCACTAAGTTACTGTGAACTTTTTCTTACCTGTCACCACCCAGTGGCTGGAGTGGAGCTCTGAAAAGTTTGGATGTTACTTTACAAATTTAATATTTTCCAAAATGATTTATCAATTCTAGTAGCTTACCATCAGGAATTTGGTGACTCCAGATAAAAGGTTTCTCTACTCACACCCCTACCCCCAGTGTACTTGGTTCTCACCCCTCCCTTAGCATCCACAAGCTTGTTTTGCAAACCACTCTACTTTGCAAAAATAAACTTAACCTATCAAAATATATTTCATATTAGTTAAGAAAATTAAAAGGGCTGTACTTATCAGTGGTGGGAAATTTGTTCAAGAGAAAAACAGGCTTTGCCAAACCCATGTATGCATTAAGTTCCATTTTATGTGAGTCTTCCGTGTTTACTTACGAGACCTGGAGTAAAAGCTGAAGGCATCTGCTGCACGTTTGGGATTTCTTTCTTTATCACATGATTCCTTTTTCCTCATGATGGTGTGGACTTTACAAAATAAGCTCCTCCAGTGTTTTTTCTTTTCCTTTCTTTCAATGCTTCTAATAAATAAGAAAATGTGTTTCCATGGCTAAGCGAGCCCTGCCTTGTTGGACCTCACCTGCTGTGGCATCGCCCAGGGCCTGCTGAGGTGGCCTCTGCTCTGGCTAGTCTGGTTCTGCTGTTTCCTGAAGGCAGACACACCATGGAAAGGCCCAGAGGTGGCTGGCATTCCTGGCACCAGGGAGAAGGCACCCCCTTCCAAAAAGCCTTAAAGTGGTGGCTCTCTGGAGACCCCTGGGCACCACCTCCCCATTCAGTCCCGACTATAAACTCTTTTCTACTTGCACTCCCCCCATTCTGATGTGGCTCTTCAGGGCAGAGATGGGCTGCACAGTGTCATCCTTTCCATCTACAACCACCCCCGTTCTCCACACCCACTCTGCAGTGCCAATTCTTGTGGGCACAGAGTGTGTCCCTGACAGTGTTGCCTGTTGACACGGGGTGGGGTCCCAGGGTGGAGTCCAGGACAGTTGATCCTAGAGAGACCTGGGGGACATGAATGATGATGACTACCCCCCACTCACCCCAAGGAAGTCCCTCCGGACAGCAAGGAGCACTTCCAGGGTACAACAAATACTTTGGAAGACTCTCACTTTTGCTCCAAGCAATGTGTGAAATGACCTGTAAGCAGTTATGCAGTCAGCAACATTCCCCAAAACCAGTCCTTTCTCACCATTCCACCCCCAGTACAGAAGACAGAGGGAGATGTCCTGCATGGACCCTCAGAAATAACTGGTATGTGCAGGCTCCGCGGTATGAATATGCTCTACTCAACTGGGCTGACTTAACACTTAACCCCAGGGACCACACAGAAGCCACTCTCACCAAACAATCCAAGTGATGTTACTGCTTCTATCCATTCTGCAAAGTGATTAGTTGAAATTTACATTTTTATTGTTTGATTCTTGCAAAAAAAAAAAAAAAAGAGTCCCGCCGGCCCCAATTATGTATGTACAAAATGATGCCCATTGCTAATGCATTTTTATTCATTCACCCAAGAGAGCATCTTAATACATACATGTGTGTACATATATCTGTGTATTTGCGTGTGTACATGTATACACACATATATATAATCAGTTCTTTACAAGGTGAAGTATACCAGTTGGTTTAAGGAGATAGGTTGAATCTGCTCAAGACCAAAGCAACCTGTTAATTTAATAAGGACAAGTTAGTAAAACCAGCTATTTGACAGTATCTATAAACAGTGGAGGATGACTTTAA